ATTCTTTGTTTTGAAGAAGTTATATCCTGATTTGTTTTCAAGGACTCGATTTGAATCTTTGTTCTGAGATGCGTATGAATATGCCAAGCATACTAGAAACTCTTATCATGTGAGTGATAATAGAAGCACAACTCCGTTTATAACTATTCATTCTGATGTATGAGGTCCTACCCAAACTGTTTCTTTGTTTGGCAGTCGATGGTTTGTTACTTTCATTGATTGCTGTACTAGGATGACTTGGGTAAATTTGTTAAAAGCCAAAAGTGAAGTTTTCTCTTGTTTTCAGTCATTTCATAAGATGATTTGTACATAGTTTGATGCCAAAATAAAAATCTTGAGAACTGACAATGGCAGCGAATACATGGATAAAAGATTTGGTGCTTATTTGGAGTCCAATGGGATAGTCCATCAGACTAGTTGTTCTTACACTAGTGCACAAAATGGGGTCGCTAAAAGAAAAAATAGACATCTGTTAGAAATAGCAAGATCTTATATGTTCACGATGCATCTACCAAAACCTTAGTGGGGGATGCTATTCTAGAAGCTGCCTATCTTATCAACAGAATGCCACTTAAACCCCCTCAATTTTCATAGTCCCCTGGAAACTTTAAAGGGAAGAATGAATATATTGTTCCTCCTAAAGTGTTTGGGTGTGTTTGCTTTGTTCACACTAGAAATTCTGGGAAACTTGATCCTAGAGCTATAAAGTGTGTTTTCATTGGGTATTCTCCGTCACAGAAAGGTTACAAATGTTATCATTCTCCCTCTAGGAGATCTTTTGTTAGCATGGATGTTATCTTTCGAGAATATGAGGCCTATTTCAGTATTGAATCATCACCTCTTCAGGGGGGAGAGCAGTAAGGAGGAAGAGGTGATTCTACCTAGTTTCATTACTGGGCCTCTTGATGACATTGTCACAGGGAAAAGCGAAATTGGAGAAAGAATTCAGGGGAGTATTGGGCGTTTGGATAGGCCTGATTTGAAAATTTACTCAAGGAAAAATAGAGCAGAAGAAGCCATCATGCAATCTACCGAAGTTGAACCTTCTTCAACTGGTGAGTTATCTACATTCCTAATGAGTTAGATTAACCTATTGCTCACAGAAAAGGAGTCAGATCTCGCACCACCAAACACTCTTTATCTAATTTTGTCTCCTATAACTCTTTGTCTCCCTCCTATAGAGCATTTGCCTTGTCTATTTCTTCTGTGTCTATTCCCCAGAATTGGAGGGAAGCTTTTGCAGATCCTAAATAGAAGCAAGCTATGATTGAAAAAATGAAGGCCTTGTCAAAAAATGAGACTTGGGAATTTGTCACTTAACCACCAGACAAGAAGTTGGTTGGCTGCAAATGGGTCTTCACTGTGAAGCACAAAGCTGATGGCTCAATTGAAAGATTCAAAGAAAGATTGGTGGCTAAAGGATTCACTCAAACTTATGGAGTGGATTATCAAAAGACATTTGCCCATGTTGCTAAGATGAACAAGGTTAGAATTCTTTTATCTTGTGCAGCTAATCTTGATTGGGACTTGCAACAGTTTAATGTGAAGAATGCATTTCTTCATGGAGACTTAGAAGAAGAGGTGTATATGGAGATTCCTCCTGGATTTGATATTGTACAGAGTCAAGGAAAGGTATGCAGATTGAAGAAAGCCTTATACGGACTGAAGCAATCCCCCAGAGCTTGGTTTGACAGATTCAGCAAAGCAATGATCTCTTTCGGTTACCAACAAAGCAATGTTGATCACACCCTCTTCATAAGACATCAAACGGGTAAACTCACTCTTCTCATAGTTTATGTTGACATAGTAATGACAGGAGATGACAAAGAGGAGATGTCTCGATTGAAGAATTTGTTGGCACATGAATTTGAGATCAAAGATCAGGAAAATTGCAGTACTTCTTGGGAATTGAGTTTGCTAGATCCAAAAGAGGAATCTTTATTTCTCAAAGAAGGTATATTCTGGATCTCTTGAAAGAAACCGGTATGACAGGTTGCAGACCCGCAGAATCGCCCATTGAAAGTAATCACAAGTTACAAAGCGGAGTTGGAGAATCAGTTGATAAGGAGAGATATCAGAGGCTGGTTGGAAGACTCATTTATCTCTCCCACCGCCTATTCAGTTAGTCTGGTGAGTCAGTTCATGCATGATCCCCGAGATCCTCATATGCTAGTTGTCTTTCACATTTTGCGGTATCTGAAGTCTGCTACACGGAAAGGTCTACTTTTCTCCAAAACATGATCACCTCCAAATAAAAGCCTTTACAGACGCGGATTGGGCTGGATCTCTAGATGACAGAGATCAACATCCGGTTATTGTACGCTCGTAGGAGGAAACTTGGTCACTTGGAGAAGCAAGAAGCAAAGTGTAGTTGCTAGATCAAGTGCGGAAGCAGAATGTAGAGCTATGGCCCAGGGTATTTGCGAACTACTTTGGCTACAAAAGCTACTACAGGATTGAGATTGTATGAAAAAGGAAAACTTACCTTGTACTGTAACAATAAGGCTGCCATCAGTATAGCTCATAATACAGTCCAGCATGACCGAATAAAGCATGTGGAAATTGATCGACACTTCATCAAAGAAAAAGTTACAACTGCTGTCTTGAGTTTGTTTCATGTGCCATCGGAAAAACAGCTAGCTGATGTGTTTACCAAAGGTCTCAACAAAGCGAACTTTCCATACTTTGAGTTGCAAGTTGGACATGTGCGACATCTTTGCACCAACTTGAGGGGGAGTGTTGATTAGCATGATTCAAGGAGACTTGATTTAGTAGTGTTGATTAGCATGATTTCAGGAGATTTGATTATATTTAGGAGATCTGATTTTATTTGATAGTTGGATTGATTGTAAAGATTTATTTTATTTCCTAATCTCTTGCTCATGGGATGTAAACATACACAGAAATACAAGAAGTCTTTTCATCTTCTCAAAATCTACAGGGTATTACAGTCTTTTTTATCGGTAAAATTGTATAGATTTAGGTGTCAAAATGTGTGTATATGAACATCCATAAGCATATGATTTGCATTATTGAGATAAGAGAGAGTAACGGAAGGATAAGAGATTGGTCAAAACATTGTGTTGAAGAAGTCAAGAACTATGCTCCCATGCACAACCCCCGAGGCGCCTGAGAATCATGAATCCTAGGATTCCACCACCACCATCCGAGAGCTAACCCTGCCGCGACACTTCCCCAGAAAAAATCTCCGGAATCCGACACCCCACGCGCCGTCACGCGCGGCAGAGCTTCGACTGCCTCTAACCCACGCGCCGGCGCGTGACGCCTTTCCAAGCCAGATCTCAACTTCTTTTCTTCAGACAACCCCTTCGCGAGGTTGTTCCGACCCCACCCATCCACCAACCTCCAAATTCCGACCACTTTTACTATTTTCCGGCGACGGATGTGACTTTTTCCGGCCAGATTTCACTCCCTCTCACCTCCTCTTCTTCAGTCAGCCTCCTAGCGAGGCTTTTGGTTTAGTTACGATGGACTATACAGAGAGAAGCTCTTACTTCTCCCTAGAATCTAGTAAACTGGAAAACATGTCTTTCATCAAAGTTGCCTCTTTGGCCAGCCCTAGAACTTGAGAGAAGATGCCATCGAAAGCTTGACATAAGACAGGAGCCGCACTTCTCGTTGTCCGAGGAGCACACTCTCAGGCGTAAGGGTTTCTTGGAATCTTATTTGATTGGGTCTTTCTCCAAATGGGTTGGTTCTCTAGAGGCTGTTAGGAATTGGGCAGCAGAGGCATGGAACGTCAAGGACGGGCTGAAAATATCGCAACTGGGGGACACGCAATATCTCTTTCGATTTGTCGACGAGTCTCAAGCTTCAGAAATTCTTGTCAGAGGAAATAAGTGGTTCGATGGGAACTTCTTAAATCTAGACAGATGGGTGGAGCACGATGGGTGTCTCGACCCTCGTTTCACTGGCGAAACATTGGTGGTCAACATGGTGGGTCTCCCGGTGCATCTTTGGTGTCTTGACCTATTCAAGAAGATTGGGAAAATCTGTGGGGGGTTTATTGATGTCACTTGCAGTTTACACGATCTCTCGCGAGTGAGGATTGTGGTGAGGAAAGGGGGCAGAATCCTTGTCTCCACTGTGGTGGAAGATGGTTACTTGAGTTATAGGATTTGGTTGAGCCCTGAATTTCGCCTTATCTTTATGCTTGTGATAGTGACGGAAGAAAAGGGAAGGTCAATAGAAGGGAGGGGAGGGGAAATCAGTCTCTGAGGGGAGGGGAGGGCTCACCGGATCACTAGACTAAGCCGGAATCAGACGTTAGATCGAGAAGAGACGAGAGATTTGAATTTGGGAAAGGAAGACAAAATTTTAACATGAGGAAAAGACGTGAATGGGTTAGTGAAAGCAAAATGCGTGAAAGTTCGCCCCGTTGGCTCTCATGTGGATAGTTTGGGGGGAGAGAAATAGGAGAGCTTTTGAGGGGATTGAGTCTCCTTTTTCACATTTTAAGAATAGTCTTTTTATCTTTGATCGCTTTTTGGTGCACTCATTTAGCCCCTACTTGTATAGAAGATTGGGCGTCTTTTGTAGAAAATCATGTTCTGATGTAAATTCTCTACTTTTTGGTATACCTCGTGTATACGGGAGTTCTCTCCCTTTTGATTAATACAATTTACCTTATCAAAAAAGAGAGAGTAACGGAGGAGACAGCGATAGAGAACTGAAATCTCTTGGCAAGCTATAAAGGTGAAGCAATGGAAAAAGATTAGAATGCAAGGTCGTCCAAGGCCATTACATGTTAAGTGGGTATCTACAAGGAAAAGAGATTAGAGATAGAGGCATAAGTGACTAAAACATCAGTGGAAGGATCTTTTGGACTAGATTAAGCAACAATAGCTTTATCGACATCTTTAAAGAAAAATAATTTTTGTAAGATATAGAGAAATATATTATAGTGTAAGAAAAGCTTTAGCTGCAGCAGAAAAAGATCCAGAAGGGATTAGTCTGGAAAAACTAACCCAAATGCCATAAATGCTTTTGGAGATTCAACTAAACACCTCACAAAGCTCTAGTCCCTTCAATATGGCAAAGCACACATAATGAATCAAAGCTGAACATACCCTGAACAAAGCCCTCTCTCCCACAAGCGAATAGTGGATCGCACCAACTAAATTGTAGCCACTTTCTGCCCTATCAACTGCAACATACATATGTTGGTCGACATCTTTGATAGAAACAATTGTTCCTGCAAGAAAGACACTAATAATGTTAATATGTTCATAATAAAAGTATGGGTTCTGCAGCCTGGGCTGAAAGAACACTACCATCAGGAACCATTTCCTCCAGACATCCAGAAGATTCTCCGCTGTTCTTCTGATGTGTTTGCTCTATGCTTTTGGTTGCTTCTATGCTAAATATGGCTGATAAAGATTCCCCAGCAAAAATTATAATCTGATTTAACAAAAGAAAGTTAGAGCAATTGTTTGTATACAACTTGTATGTTGGGGTTTCCCCATTACATAAATGACATTATTACTTTTTTTTGGTAATTAAGAAATTTTATTACCAACTGGAAGTATTTACAGCTCAGAAATTCTTACTTTATCATAACAGTTGGAGCAAGACGAGCATTACTAGTGGAATCCCCGAGGGACAATGGTGCACGGTTCGAAACTTGGTGGATTATGGGCCCGCCCCTCTATCCATTATTAACAAAATTATTTAAATGATGATTCTGGGGTTTAAATGAATTCTGATTAGGAGTATGTATAGAGAGCGGTAGCAGCGCCCTTGCAACCACAAGGATAGCTATGAAGTTTACATCAAAAGAACCACCTTTTACACGTGTCTACAGAAGCTACACTACCCACAAGCTAATTATCCTTGACGATATAATTATATTGCACCATGATAAGCTGAGACCTTATGCAATACACAATGTTCACTATTGCTATATAATTTAGTCTAGGAATATAACTATAGAAGATACTATTTACAGAAAGTGGAAAAAGACAAATAACTAAGGAAGGCATTTCTCCTCACCTGTATTTCACGCAGAGAGAGAGTCATGTCGAAACCAGATATAGAACCACTGCCAACCCAAAAGTCATTTGACTGCAAAGGAATACTCCCGCTGCTTTTGAGAGGCTGCTCAGCCACCAGAATAATATTTAAGTCTTTTAAAATATAATTTTGAGGAGTAGCAAGTGAAATTTGAGAATTTGAACCACCCCTGCAAGGTTTACTTGAACCATCTGCATGATATTGATTTCCTAGTTCTGGGGGGCTTGAGCTACTTGCTTCATTCATGATAGAATTAGCTTCACCCAAATGATCGGGAGCAATTAACGTGTCATCATGTACAATGATGGAAGATTGATCATCAGATATGGAAGAAGAAGGGAAAGGAGTTCTTGTGTCTAGGCTTTGTTGTTCAGTAGATATATGGAGTAACTGAGAAAGAATTGACAAGTTCGTTATGCCAAATGAGAATTTCCTTGGTAGTTCAAGCTTAAGGTTGCCGTTACCTTCAAGCCGAAGCTTCTGAAATTCACCTACAAGGCAGTAAATTCATTATTGAAATTGTGCTTCTTTTACATTGTTTAAAACAAACTGTTTATTTCAACATACCAAAATATTAGCCAGAATTAGCACTTAACCGCTGAAGCTAGATGCAAAAACATGCTAAGCATTTTGCCTTGCATAGGCAGCACTTCAAACCGGGCATGAAGATGCTAGGGCATGTGTGTCATCATTCATAGGCTCCATTTTGACGAGTACAGTGTTAAACAACAATTATTTCACCTAATCATATATTTTTTCCAATTTCTTTGTCCATATAATTGTTTCTTGTATTTAAATTTACTACTCTTTAATTACATTGTTTTAAACTTTTGTGCCTTTACTCTTGAACGCTGTCAGTTGCATTAAAAGGCCTTAAATGACCAGATCGAGCAAGCTCGATTGACCTAAGATGAAACTTATTATGCCAAAAGCTCCATGGATAGCAACAAAAGTCAAGAACACTAGCTAATCAGTGGGGGTAAAACCCGTGCGCACTAGCGTTAAAGTCCCAACAGGCCTCAGCATTTTTTTGCTTTCACCTTTGATAACACTGTATGTTATTCAAGATTTTGAAGAATTCCAAATATGGCAAATAAACTCAAATTGAAACTTGCTGCTCTTAGAGCAATATAATCTTATATAGCTTCTTAATACTCCTAATAACTTGATATGTATCAAAGCCTCCTCAACCTTGGGTGCACTAAAATGGCAAGGGGGCAGTAACTCTAAAAATAAGATGAGACCAAAAAATATATGTTTATATCTGCATGAGAGAACTACTTCAGAGTCCTGCTGTTAATTGATAACAAGCGAAGCAAAAGAAAAAGATGATACCAGATTTATCTCCATCCACCAATGCCAGAGAAACCTGTGAAATATTCATGGCAAATGCTTCCACCTGGTTCCAATTAACTAGTTTATGTTGCTCCAACTGTTGGTTGGAAGAACTCCTCAGTAGACTAGTATCCTCATCATTCTGAATAACTAGATGTTCTGTCACAGCTGGCCAATGGCCTTCCAACTGATTACAGTAGAATGCGTAGCATTCAACCATTGTCACCAAAGAAGCTATCTCAACAATGATAGAACCCCCCTGTTGAATTGGTGTCCGTTTAAACCTTAGAAATCATAAGATCTTCCCAAACTATGAATAAACAACTTATATCCAAATTAAGATTTAGCAAAATGGATGCAGAAGTTAATGCATAGGCAGACATTAATCTGAAGCTGCAAGAACAGAATAGAAACCTGTGACTGACAGGAGATTGTCTGAAATTGTCCACCAACAGAAACAAATGCTTCAAGCGTCTTTAGTTCGTTGCCTCGAAGCAATAAGTTCTTTACTGCACATCTGGCTAGGTACACTTCACCTAAAGAAATTCTTATAGTTAACCAATCGAAAGAAGGATTTACATCATTTATCAACGAAGGTGAATGATTCAAGGACATTGAAGCATCATGTATGGAGGACTCAGAACCATCCACTACATTTCTCTGACTGGCCTGCATAATATTGTCCCCTAAGGTTCTCAAACTTAAACTAATTTTACAATGAGACAATGAAGCTTGATATAAGGAATTGAGAGACCAAATCAACTGTGGTTTAACTTGATCAGAAGTATCTACAATCTCATTCGGATATCGGAATATATCAGATTCAAAATCAGAAAAACCAATGAGAACTTCAGCTTTTTCCTCTTCAAAAGAGAACCTGATATATGAATGTGCAAGAGATACATTAACTCCATAACCACGGACTGGTTGCACTGTCGACTTCCTGTCAGCTATAGTATTACCATCTGCCACATTATCATGTGAAATATATCCTTTCCTGGAGTCGTAAAGGATCATATTCACTGATCTAAGTTCACATGTCGTACTGACATTGAATGTAGTATCAGTAAGAGCTGAAGCTACTAGTGTGATTCTATTTTTGAGTGCTCTTTCACTTTCAGAGTCAGCAGACTCTCGCCTTAATAAGTCTTCATAACTTTGGCCAAGACCTAAACTGGTCGTATTGAAAACCTGAACAACTGTACACAGTAAACTAGAAATTACCTGCCATAATAGAAATTCCAAAGTCAAAAATGTCTGTATAAACTCCATGCACCTTTTTATTACAGAAGGATAGCTTATGCAATTCTAATGAGCACTGAAAGTCACTTGTTGCAGTGATCTGCATGATGGGTCAAGTCAACTTGTCAATGGGAAGTATCATAACTTCTCATAGTAGTACTGTGAACAATGGTTGTGTTGTTACGTAAACAGAGAATGAAAGACCTGTTTGAGGAATTTATGAGGCAATCCAGGTCAGCACACAAATGAGATAGCAGCTTAAAGAAGGAAATAACTCCCTTCATATTTGGAGTACTATGGTTGGAAAGAGCAAGGGAGTATTAAGGAGTAAAGAACACTTGAGTATCTTAGAATGTGAAAGTGTCCATTGTTTGAAATGAAACTGGAGTAACTATAGTAGTTAGATCACATAGAGGTGTGGGTAAGGAGAATATATAGCTATCTGAATGTATGAGAAGTTACTCCGAGGAACAGGACATGATATGGATATATGCCCAAAAGGATTTGAAGCCATGATAGGACTGGCCTATGTTATAAATTGACAAAACAAGATAGCAGTTTAGGCAACACAAGGCCCTAAAACCGACCAACCACGGAACTACTAGCTCCAAATCTCCAGGTCACAAACAGATCAGGGAGGTTAGTGGTCCCAAAGACACTCTCTAGATCCTACAGCAATGGAGCTTTAAACAAGGTCTGAAGCACCAACATGGTTATGCTGGAGGCAAAACTGATTCTGGTTAAGGAGGCTGTTTGTCAAGCCTCTGTTGTTAGCACTTAGCAGGCCAAAGATGAGTCTTGAGTTCTCTTGTTCATAACTAGAAGAATGAACTTGTTATGGCAGCAAAAGTCGGGAAACAGGACAGCTAGAAGGACCTAAAATGAACCTTGAGTTGTCACTTGTTCACAATTGGAAGAATGGGATTGCAATGACAGCAAAATTTGAGAAAAAAGACAAGCTCAGAGAGGCACCATTCTTTTAGGACACATCCCTTGTCAATGTGTTGGTCTTTGCAACAACTAGCTAGACGTCAATCTCAGGCTGAAAGTGCCAGTGTTTCTATGCTCTGGCTTCCTGTATTTCTTGATAAATGAACCATAAAATGACTCATAGAAGGATGGAACATCTTCAGTGCCAAGGGGATAGTATCCAATGCCATATTGGAGAAAACAGCGAAGGAACATAGTCTTTCCTATTTCAATTAATCTAACAGTTGGGACGACAAGGGAAGACTTGAATTTCAATTTGAGGAGGAGTTTATAACAAATTTATCACCGGGTTCAATGAATACTACGTAGAAGGTTGGTAACATAAAGACCACATGGCCACCCCTGGAAGCTACCTCACAAAAGTGGAGACGGTACAGAAGGACTACACTTAGAATTCCAAGTTCGGATTGTATATTGAAGGTCAGTTAAAAGATATAAATACCACAAACACAATCTTAAAGACTGCCAGAGTAGCAAGAGAATGAAAATAAGGATTAAAGAAGTACACCGTAGAATAAGGTGAACGTCTCAACTAACACAGAAGATTAAAAAAGTTTCAGCCATATGCTAAAAGAGAAAACCACCCAGCAAAGCAACTACAAGGCACCAAGAGAAGAGAATCACCTTTAGCAGAACTGCACATTCATCCATAAATACCAGTGTCGTCAATCCAGTACTCGTGCAATGTAATGCTACAGAGAAAGCAATATCTATTGAGCCCAAAGAATGCAGATCCTTCCTGCCAAAACATTGTTGAAGTACATTAACTTTAGCTTTAGTCCACATAATTTCAGACATATCCAGGAAATTCCTCTAACAAAAAAAAACTTAAGGAAATTTCTATTGTGACAGTCTTCTGTGTTGTAAAGAAGCAAACAAAGGTAAGACAAGTAACAGATTGGGACTTTAACATGAAAGTACAGTTTTTACAAGTTTGAAAACAAAAGTGGACTCCATGTAGTAAGAACACAACAGTATAGTAGACGACAAAAATAACTTAAACTTTCCTTGTTGCATGTTTTCTGATGGATGTTTTGCTGTTTACAGACTGATAGGGAACAACTGCAACAACCCCACTCATTTCTTCGGCACACATCTAAGGGTCATACCTCATAGTTTCTTAAGACAACGATGGATATCTCAATCAGGATGAGCAAAGGCGTTGAAAAATTATTCATGTACTAAATTACCATGTGATTTTTTGTTCTAACCGAGGATACTTAATTGCTTGCAGACTCAAGTATAACATGCACATGCTTGAAGACGGAGAAAAGAAAAGCACGAGAGCGGAACAAATACCTCAAAGATAACAGTTGCATAGTTAAAGGATTTAAAACAACAATTTGGACACCCTGATTATCCCATAACTTGTCGAGGGAAACTTTCAGACCTTTAAGTTCCATGTAGGCACAAAGTGAAGTGCACCCTCGACTGCTATTAACTTCACCATTTGATTTAGCAATATCCATCTGCTGAAGGTCCTTCAACGGTTTTGCATCAAAAACTGCAGTATCTCCACTTGAGGAAGTCAAATCAGACTCCAAACTTGGTGAGACGCCTAGTTCAATATCGTCAGCATCAAAAGAAAGGCGTACGTCATTCCCAAGCTTAAGATACAGATCTGCATCCGCACCATGAAAATCCTCCTTTCTCAATGTCAGCTTGATTCGTGGACCAGCAATGTGTACCGCTATTTGCATATGTTTCTCGGGAAGAAGTCTAGGCACCTTAACCTTAATTCCAGAAGAAAATGGTTTGTAATTGCTATTCCAATCTGCAACTGGCGGATCCTCAACTAATCCAGAAACCCCCTGTACGACAGTGCTCCCCATGCGGCTAGTAGTCCAAGGTATCGCACTTATCTGTCTGCAAATAACTGTAATTGACACTATTACTAAATAATCCAGAACCAAATTCAACGTCCCCATTACCATGCAACAAGTAGTGTATCCAGCAGTAAGGTTCTTGAGGCTTTGATCAGTCAAAAAGCTCTTAATCTCACAAAGAATAAAAGGATCCTCCATGTTCTGGATCTCATTTTCTCCAAACCTTGATGAATATTTTTTCCAATTCAGGCATGCTTGTTCTATAAGAGATTTCGGGGTATGTACAAAATCTCCATCAGTACCACGAGGAGGATTAGCCCCACCACTTTCAGTGGAGTGGAGAATTTGGTTAGGCTCACTCCATAAAGTAGGTTGCAGATTGTGAACATTTTTTCTCCGACGTCCTTTGAAGTTATTATTGAACTTATTGGTCTTATCTTCCGTAAGATAAGAAGAGACAACCTTCAAGGATCCACATGCAAAGGAAAAATACTGTTCAGAGACATCTTCAGAGTGCCTTAAGCAGAAGAAATCAATGGAGAGACAGAATCTGACTAAACCAGGGTATGAAAGCCCAACATCTGATAGCAGCTTCCTACTAAAGGATGGATAAACTTCAATATCTGGTGAAATTAAAATGGAAAATTCCCTGACATATAGGCAAATGTGACTTCCTAGGATGGAATCTTCATTTATGGCGCCAAGTTTTTGACAGATATCTCGGTTCCTGACCAGCAGTTTCTTCAAGAGGAAAAAGCATTTAACAGAATGGAGCGCACTGCTAATGACAATCCATATAAGGGAAAGTGACTGACAAATTTTCCAACAAATCCTGCTTATCCTAGATTCGTGACCACCATCCTTTGACTGTTGACCAGATGATGCTGCTCTACCACGGACTATTCTTCGTGCCTGCACAATGGCCTCAACAGGTAGTTCGTTCTCAATTTGAGAAATAACCTCCCACTGTTGCTTAAAAGTTCTTGAATATGCTTTGCTCTGAACAATAGCAGTAGTGGATTTCTTTATCACATCATCAACCGGATATCCAACCAGTAAAAGCATTTTCTCATAAGCATGTACATAGCGCAACCATAAGCACACGGTGCTAGCAATTTTATGGAATGCAAACTTTGGAGTTGAAGTCAAAGAACAAATTTTTGTTGCTGCTATTTCCCATAGTTGCTTACCAGTTCTGGCACGCTTGGATTCTTTCGACCACAATGAAAAAAGTACAAATAGGATGGTAATATCTTCTGGAGATAAAGAAAAATTTAATGAAGCAGCATAAAAGTTCAATTCTCTGAACTGAAGATATTTCACTTTTGCAGAAGCTAGCAAATCAGTTGAAGGCAAAATGCAGCTAAAGTAACTTCTTCTCCTCAAGTTGATCTCAACATGTTGAACATTGAGGTCAAAGGAGTTCTCTCCAGAAGGTAGAAAAGTTGAACTAACCAGTCCAGTTAGGAGACACCCCTTAATGAGTTTACATTGTACACCAAGTTCCTTCATCTCAAACGATAGTGACCATATATCATTTGATAAAGTTGACTGCACAATAACATGAGCATCATGCACTTGCAACCGACAATGTTGTAGTATCCAATCAAATAAATAAGTGGTCCAACTTCCTGGAGTAATTTCTGAAATAGTCTTCATGGCATTGTGCAAAGCACTACCCTTGAACATATCAACGTCAAAGAAACTAAATTCAGAGGTCAGAGATCAGACGCATGAAAAAGAAACTGTAAGGTACTTTTATCCACAAAACAACAGCACCAAGAAGGTAATGGGAGTATAAAAATACCAGTGGACTTATCTCCTCAATGTTTGTACATAAGGAGTATGTGGAGTCCAGAAAAAATTAGATTTTTACAACAATCATCTTAATCTGAAATTTTAAATGTTGGAAACACTTATACTTAACAAAAGATATATGTTCTGTTTTCCCCTCAAAAAGTCTACGGTATATCTCTGAACACACTTTCCAAAATATACATGAAAAATTATTTTTTTAGATCAAGACGTGAAGGAATTGTCTTCCAAGTTTTTGTCTTCACTCTAACTTCAACCTCTATCTCTTCCACTGGTCATTCCTTGTTTCAAGTAGCCAGGCATTATCTACTGTTATCCCATAAAATCAGTTTTCCCAACCAGATAATCAAACAAGTAGCCAAGTAAGTACCTCGGTATCAAGCTCGGCTAGAATCTTTTTCCGCTCCTCAATGGTCGAATCTCTGGGCTTCGGCTTCCACCTAACACCATCCTCCTCCTCTTCTCTTGAAGTAGGAAACAAAAAACTAAGTAACAAGTATACAAGTAGCATGAACCCATAAAAGGCAGTAAATGCTGAATTCCACTGCACTAACTAACTTTCATGAAAATGCGTGCAAACTTAGTATTAACATGTACATTTTAAAAAATGTAAACTATATATAACATGTGTGCGTGTGTATTAGCTAAGAGGTGAGCACAGTGAACTTACCCGACTGATAAAACGATGTTAAGGCCATGGATTTGGAAATCGAATGCAGGTGCTGACCAGTTGGATACATGAAGGCTCAACTGTCGGACAGTGACTTCTTTGAAACACAAGCGAGTAGGATCATCCAGCAACTCGTTGAGTGCAGACGTGTTAAAGCTAAGGTTCTCTAACTTGGCGTGAGAATGAAGAAACCCTAGCTGAACATCCAATTCAACTTCGTCTCTTAACCATGGCTGTAACAGAGACACAAGTCTCCGTTGAATCAAATCGTTGAAAAACATTGTCCGTTTCCTCCTTTTATCCGATTGATTTAAACAAGTTAACGCAGTTCTCGTTAAGGCAGTTCACCATTGATAAACTGGAAATCGTGTTCCAATTTGAACTTCTTTCACCCTATAATGCAACAATGAAATCAATAGCAATTAGGCATTGAGAATAATTAGAGGCTCTCTTGCTTGTTTTTTGGCGGTTGAGAACAGAAAAATAAGAGGCGGAACTTTGGACCGTTTACGTAAGCCTGGACCTGGGCGACCCGATAATTACACTTGGAGTGAAGCTTAACTCGAGCGATACGGTGTCACTTTGTCTGTCTAAGTGTCAAGGAAAGAATAGTGCTGGAGCCACATGTATTCCTCAAAAATTAGGTGGGTAGCTAGATAAAATTTTATTTGTTTATATATATTATATTATATATATTTATGCCCCTTGATATTCTTTCGAAATTTATTTCTTTACATTTTGATTTTCTGATATAAATTTTAACCCCGCTACTAGAAAACAATCCATCAAATGCAAATCATTAGCTCATTTTTATATTCCTTACGTGGGATGAGGAACAAAAGTATTACGTATATTTGATTTTTGCTCGCAATAGATATACATTCTAGTAATATTGAGAATCTCCCACACATGTGAATCACATTTTCATTACTCCCTTTCTTCTCTCCTTTTCTTGATCCTCATTATAATATAATGGAAATTATAGAAAAAAAAGTGCTACGGGAAACAAATGTTTTTAACCTTATGTTTATATTCTTTTTGTTTCGGGAGGAAACAAAGTACTACTATCCATCTTAGCTATTCATCGTAGGACCTTTTTCACCGGGCATAGCTATAAATAGTGATGTTACAACCCAAAATCCACTAAAGGTCGTGATGGTGCCTAACATCGCCGCCATGCAAGCCAACAGTGAATGATTAACTTAATTACTCATTTTAGTATTTTTGAAATCGTAATTTTCATCAATTGAATAATAAGAAATAGGATTTACAGGGTAAATGATAATGTTTTCATGATTACAATATAGAACAACTCATAAGCACCCCCAAACTCCGGTGTCACAAGTGCATGAGTATCAACTAGGAAATATAATACAATACAACCTCTATCTGGAATACAAATTAGACAGGAGAATATAAATAACTCTGATGGAGACTCTGCAGGCTGCGGATCGTAACATGAAATGCAACTCACGGTAAGTCCCCGCAATAGTCGTGCCTTTGCGCCCGAAAGACCACCCGACATATATGTACCTGCACAAAATGTGCACCAAGTGTAGCATGAGTACGTAAATCAACGCGTACCCAGTAAGTATCTAGCCTAACCCCAGAGAAATAGTGACGAGGGGTCGACATCGACACTTACTAGTGGTCCAATAAGGCAGATACAGTAAGAAGTAAAACAGATATGGGGCAAAGTAAACAAACAAAATAAACAAGTATAAATACGTGGTACAATCCTCCTCTCTATAATAAACTCAAGCCCTCAATTAGCAATTTCCTCCTCAACCGGGCGCGCGCGCGCGCACACACATATATATATATATATAATGGATCTCACCAGATAGGTCGTCATAATCCAAATCAGGAAGACTCATAGATACACTGACTTCTTTTCAAATATTACTCATAGAAACAATAGTGCTGGAGCCACATGTATTCCTCAAAAATTAGGTGTGTAGCTAGATAAAATTTTATTTATCTATATATATTATATATATTTATGCCTCTTGATTTTCTTTCAAAATTTACTTGTTTATATTTTGACTCTCTAATATAAATTTTAACTCTGCTACTAGAATGAGGAACAAAAGTATTACGTATATTTGATTTTTGCTTGCTATAGATATATATTCTAGTGATATTGAGAATCTCCCACACATGTGAATCACATTTTCATTACTCCCTTTCTTCTCTCCTTTTCTTGATCCTCATTATAATATAATGGAAATTATAGAAAAAACAAAGTGCTACGGGAAACAAATGTTTTTAACCTTATGTTTATACTCTTTTTGTTTCAGGAGGAAACAAAGTACTACTATTCATCTTAGCTATTCATCCTAGGAACTTTTTCACCAGCATAGCTATAAATAGTGATGTTACGATCCAAAATCCACTAAAGGTCGTGATGGTGCCTAACACCGCCGTCAGGCAAGTCAACAGTGAATGATTAACTTAATTACTCATTTTAGTATTTTTAAAATAGTAATTTTCATCAATTAAATAATAAGAAATAGGATTTATAGGGTAAATGATAATGTTTTCATGATTACAATAAAGAACAACTCATAAGCACCCCAAAAATTCGGTGTCACAAGTGCATGAGCATCAACTAAGAAATATAATACAATACAACCTCTATCTAGAATACCAATTAGACAGGAGAATATAAATAACTCTGATGGAGACTCTGCAAGCTGCGGATCGTAACATGAAATGCAACTCACGTTAAGTCCCCGCAATAGTCGCGCCTCTGCGCCCGAAAGACCACCCGACATATATGTACTTGCACAAAATGTGCATCAAGTATAGCATGAGTACGTAAATCAACGTGTACCTAGTAAGTATCTAGCATAACCCCAGAGAAGTAGTGACGAGGGGTCGACATCGACACTTACTAGTGGTCCAATAAGACAGATACAATAAGAAGTAAAACAGATATGGGGCACAATAAACAAACGAAATAAATAAGTATAAATATGTGGTACAATCCTACTCTCTATATTAAACTCAAGNTATATATATATATATATATAATGGATCTCGCCAGATTGGTCGCCATAATCCAAATCAGCAAATCAGGAAGACTCATAGATATACTGACTTCTTTTCAAATATTATGCACGATTTCATGAGAGTATTTTATAGAAATGCCGAGGCGTACGGCCCGATCCCATCATAATATGTGCACTACCGAGGGTCGAATAGCACGAATAATAGATACATCTATTATACTGCCGAGGCGAATGGCCTGCTCCCGTGAGAGTGTGGTATATAATCCTACTGAGGCGAACGGTCCGATTTCATTAGAATAAGAAGATTAAATTGGTCTTTGACCCCACTCACGAATAAACATATGAGTTATAATTTTAAGGAAAACTTTTCGATGAAAATGCATAGCGCGGGAGAAATCCCTAAGAGGAAACAAAATTATTCTGCGGCTAATCATAAAACTCGTCAAATCTCTACAATAGCAAATCTATCACTCTACACATGTCTAGTCTCAAGTCGTAATGTGAAGTAAAAGAATTTAATAGGAAATAGATAACTCGAATAGTACAGTTATAGCATGACGTGAACCTGAGTCTACCCGGACAATAACATGAATGTAGCTACGTACGGACTCTCGTCACCTCGTGCGTACGTAACCCCCGCAACAAGTAGAACATATAAATTACAACACCTAGGGGTAGTTTCCCCCTCACATACTTAGACAGGAGACTTACCTCGCTCTGAAGTTCCATAGCCGGCTCCAATGCCACTCTAACACTTCAATCTGGTGTCGTCACTCCAAAACTAGTCAATCAATGTACAAATCCATAAATATATACTCTAATACTTATTATAAATCAAATTATAACAATTTCCAACTCTGCTCGAAAACATCGATAAATCCAACCCTCGAGCCCACGTGCCTGGATTCCGAATTTTTTTGAAGATAAACATTACTCATAATATTACTAACTCAAATATATAATTTATTCCCAATTCCATGCCCAAATTCGTGGTCAAAACCCAAAAATACTAATTTCTAAGTTTTTCTTCAAAATCTCAAATTTCTACAAATTTCCATGTTTAAATCCATCCATATATACCATGTATTTAACTTGAAATAGGTGGGAAGCACTTACCTTTTGATTGATGCTGAAAATGGTGCTTCAAAATCGCTCCATGGTCGGCTCCCATGGAGGAAATGAGATGAAAATGGCCAAATTCCCGTTTTAAAACTTCACTGCCTAGGTCCGTCCTTCTTCGCATTCGCGGAAAGACCATCGCGATCGCGAAGACAAAAAATGCACTGCCTCCGATTTCCTCTTCACGTTCGTGTTAGCTAGGCTGCGTTCGTGATGCCTTCAGGCCCTACTGCTTCGCGTTCGCGAAGGCTTAATGGCTCCAGGTCCCCCAGTCATCTTCCTTCTTCGCGTTCGCAACCCCTATGTCGTGTTCGCGAAGGCTTTCCTAGCTTCTGCCTCGCGTTCGCGTCCACTGCCTCGCGTTCGCGAAGGACAAATCCCAGCAGCCCCAAAATTCCGCTTTGCGGATGCATGAGATCCTTCGCGTTCGCGAAGGAGGAAACTAGACACCAGCACAACAGTTCCAAAGTAGCCCAACTTGGTCTGAAACCACCCCGAAACACACCTGAGGCCCCCCGGGACCCTGTCCAATCACATCAACCTGTCCCAACACATGACACGAACTCGCTCGAGGCCTCAAATCACATCAAACAACATCAAAATCATGAATCGCACCCCAATTCGAGCTTAATGAACTTTAGAACTTCAAACTTCTACATTCGATGCCGAAAATTATCAAATCACGTCTGATTGACCTCAAATTTTGCATACAAGTCACATTTGATATTACAAAACTTCTCCAACTTCCTAAATCGAAATCCGAACCCGATATCAAAAAGTCCACTCTCGGTCAAACTTCCCAAAAACCTTCAAATTTCCAACTTTCGTCAAATGACCTCGAAATGACCTACGGGCCTCCAAATACACATCTGGACACGCTCTTAAGATCAGAATCACCATACGGAGCTATTCCCATGCTCGAAATTCCACACAGACATCGATGGCATTAAAATACACTTCAACCCAAATTTATGAAATCTTTTCAAAATGCCAACTTTCTACAATAGGCGCTGAAACGTTTCCGGGTCATCCAAAACCCGATTCGGACATACGTCTAAGTCGAAAATCATCTTACGAACCCGTTGGAACCTTCAAATCCCGATTCCGAGGTTGTTTACTCAAAAGTCACACCTTAGTCAATTCTTCCAACTTAAAGCTTCCGAAATTATAGATTTCTTTCCAAATTAACTCTGAACTTCCCAAAATTAAATTCCGACCACGCATGCAAGTCATAATACCTGAAGTGAAGCTATTCAAGGCCTCAAACCACCGAATGTCGCACTAGAGCTCAAAATGACCGGTCAGGTCATTACATTCTCTCTCACTTAAACATACGTTTGTCCTCGAACGTGCTAAGAACTACTCTGGAGTTGTACAAAATCACTGTTTAACACCTC